TGACTATATATAAAGTAATTTTCCCACGGCACACCTTACACTATGTCACGGCACACTAGTGTGCCGTGGCACAGTGGTTGAAAAACACTGGACTAGATGACCTACAAGGTCCCTCCCAACTCTGTTCATCTGTCCCCCTCCTCCCCCAAGATGGGAAGGTGGGGGGGAATCCGGTCCCCCTACTGAGCCAGGGGGGCCCAGCCAACAATCCCCCTTCCTAGCTCAGCAAGTAAAGCCTCCCCAGAGGTCCAGGATGATGGGAACTGTTGCCTCTGGCTCAAGGATGCTGGGTCCACTGACCCAGCTGTCTTTTTTTTGGGGGGGGGGCATCCTGCATGGGGGCACAGAGTGCCGAGAGGGGGCTTGCGGGGAAGGAGGGCGTGGCCAGTTCCAGTGATAGGCGGGGCGCGGGGAGGGCCGGGCAGGTAGAGGAAAGCGCCGCTTTTGGCAGCCGCCCCTCGCCTTTTACAGCCACGGCGGCGGCGGCAGGGCGGGGCGCGGCTGCTTGACCCCCGGCAGGCAGGCAGAAGGTGCTGAGCAGAGGGAAAAGCAGCCGCTCCCCTCCGCTGGCCGCTTCCAGGTGAAGTCCAGGGCGGTGGCCAGGTAGGATCGATCCCCCCTCCCATCCGCCGCTTTGCCTAGACCTCTGCGTCCCGGGGCTTTGCCGGGGGGGGGGTATCCTGTCCCCTCGTCCCGAGATGCGTCGGACAGCCTTTCCCAGGGAAGCCATCCCGCTTCCCCTGGGAGAAAGGGCGGAGTGGCCGGGCAGCGCTTCTGGCAAGGGAGACCTCCGCGTGGCTTGAATCCCCTTCCCCGAAATGTCCCGCCTGGCGGGGAACGTTGGCCCCGCGGAACAACCGGGGAGGAAACCCGCTTATGCTCCGGGAGGGGTCTTCCTGCCTCTTTGAGCCCCTCCCCCCCACAAGCTCTGGCCACAGAAGGAAAGGAGGGTGGGCGAGTTTGCATCGTTGATTACAGATGACAGATGAACAGAGTTGGAAGGGACCTTGAAGGCCATCTAGTCCAACCCCCTGCTCAAGCAGGAGACCCCACATCTGCCTCTACCTAGGATCGAACTCACAGATTAACAGAGTTGGAAGGGATCTTGTAGGTCATCAAGTCTAACCCCCAGCCCAAGCTGGAGACCCTACTACACCATTTCAAGACAGATGGCAGTCTGGTCTCTTCTTGAAAGCTTTTTTTATTTTTATTTATTTATTTTCGTCAAGTAGGTAACAGAGTTAGGCAACAGATATAAGTACAGACATGTATAGGAATACATGAAATGAATGCGAATACAAGGGAACATTAGGACAGGGACGGTAGCCACGCTGGTGCGCTTATGCACACCCCTTACAGTCCTGTTAGGAATGGGGTGAGATTGACAGTTGACAGTCTAAGGTTAAAGTTTTGGAGGTTTGGGGAAGAAACCACATAATCTAGTAGAGCATTCCAGGCATTGACCACTCTGTTGCTGAAGTCGTATTTTCTGCAATAGAGTTTGGAGCAGTTTACATTGTTAAAGACTATATGATAAAGTGGGCTCAAAATATTGAAGAACCAATAATGTTGGATACATGGGAAA